ACTGCAGCATCTGAGGAAAACCCTACGCCCTATTCAAGGCAGACCGCATATTGAAGACTAGAGCGTACGCCGAACCCACCGGCCCCCTAACTTCGACATACGCACAAATGAACAATAATCAGGCCAACACCCTAATTGCACTAACAAATGCAAAGAGTCCTAACCCGGACGGGCCCTACCCGCCATATTAGCGAGGTCTTGGCAGACAAGTGGAGGCAAAGAGTGGAGGGAATAGGAGGGGGCCGCGCGTGAGGGGGGGCCGGGAGATACATACCGAGGGAACGCGGCAGATGGGCCTCTCTGAATTGAACACGAATCGCAGAAGACCCGCCCCAACAGAAACGAAGGGGAGCCATTAGTGTCGCAGCGATTCCAAACTTTGCCAAAGGGGGACCTATTTAGGCTCAGGCGCGCAGCCGAGCCGCACGCAGACGGATCCCAGTGGCACAAACACACGACCCGGCTATTAGAAAGTTGGAAAAGCAGCCGGCGCCCTAACTCCGCAAAATTATGAACACACCCTGGGGTAAGTACCGAGGCATATGATAAGTAACCACCCCCGGTTTTTAGATTCATACTTATATTACCTATAAGTAAAATCCATAAAAGTGAGCACAGTCTGACTAAATAAATTATCAGAACTGTGGGGAGCGAGATTTATTATTTCTAAAGCACGACTATACGCACGGTCATATCTATCTAAATTGCGGTAAATATACAAAGCATAGCGTGCATGAGGCTATAGGGAGGCATGACAAAGCATAGTACATTTCCGCATGAAGCGCGAGTGGTTGTAAACATCATTGGAAAATGGGGCAGTATACCTGGTATCAGTAGCATGCTAGACATGGAATATTCAGATGTAGATTGGGTCGAATGGAGGAAGAACAGAGCCATGATGAGCTCCTCTTCATTCACGGACGCGTTGCACACTGGCAAATTTGAAAGTAAAAGATTTCAAGCCTGGTACCATAAAAGTTCGGCGGGAGAGAATGTCAGTGACGAAAATTATAAATCGAAAATATCAATCTTATAGGTTAATATACATATCGCGAAGAAAAATTAAAGTTCATCGGCTTAGTATTAACTAGAAGGCTTACAGGCCACTGTGCCGTCAACACCCTTCCACGGTGGCAATGGCCCCGCTATTGCGGGCCAAGTGTCAAAAATGCATGCCCAGGCAATTTGGCTGACCTAGTGCGAAATGTGAAGCAAATCTAAGCGCATTTGAGCATCCAGGGAAGCAAGTAGAATGCATCAGGAGATAGTGATAATGTCGCGGATGAGGCCTAGAGTAGTAACTAGTTATTTAGGCAAAATGCGCTAGACACTATAAGCAACTGAGGGCCTAAGCGCAAGGGAATGATAAATCAAACGTTCCTTAGAGTCTGATCGCAAGGGCAATAACTACCAACTGCTCTCTCCCTGTATTAGCAGCCCCAAGCAGATTATAGAGAGAGATGGCAAGGCAGCCTCTGCTCCCTACTGACCCTAATTAAACTATAGCTAATAGTTAGCCTCGAATGGCGCTTAACGTTGGCCTCACCACAGTCCGACAGTCAGGCACTCTCAGTTTGCGCTGCTGGATGCGACGACAAGACGGCTCTTTAGGGGCACGTAGCAGCATAAAACAAATTTCGTGCTCCATGGTCCTGCGAATGGCATCGTATACATGCAATAGGCATATAAAGAGATTTATTTCCTTAAGGTCTTGATCAATAGGCTGAGCATATACGAGTACCTGTTAAATTAGATTAATTGGGCTGCTATAATGATCGTTAGGGGCAAGTTATTAGCAATAACTGTATATTATTAACGTATATGCTCATTGTCATGGCACTATCGCCCAATATGGGCAAGCCGTGAGATTTCAATATAATTACGTCCTAATTAGCACATCACTCTGATTGCCGCTGGGGCAGGCTGTACTGGAGGCTGCTAATGAGGCTAACACTAAACGATGCATTCATGAGGACGTGAGCAACCAAGTGTGGTTTCTTAACCACAGTAGACATGATGTTCTGAGATTAATGGGTCTGTAAACTGCATTGACGCACTTGTATGATTAGGCCCGAAGTCGCTGTCCTAATCATTGGCATGGCAGTACGGTATGATAATAAATGATAACGCAGCATCGGTATCAGAAAATGCGAATTTGTCTCTAATTTATAATAATAATAAGCTATACCACCTAATTTTTTTTAAATGCTGTTAGCGTTTAAGTTTCGTTACTTTACGTATTGTTGTCCACATGGAATAACTAATACCTTTGTAGCTTTAGGCCTTGGGAAAATAAACTCATAACTAGATAGTCGTCCCGGGCGGCCAGCAAAAAGAATTTTAAATTGGGGCGACAGATAGGAAAACTTTTAGGTCGTCAAACGATCCGAACCAACTGTTCGCTCGAGTAATTCGCTTTAGGCTGACCTACATTCGCAGTATGGCATGGTAGGCATGAGCAGAGCTCGATTGATTGCGCAAGCTTTACTGTAAATGTGTACGGTTGCTTGCTCAGCCCATTCTGTGGTGTTTTGCCTAGTAAATATTTAATATATACCATGACACCATGGCAATCTATAGCCGTCCACATTGTGTCCCCTCTCCTGAAAGCTAGATCTGCCCCTGACAGACTGCATGGTTGCGCTGGCATGCCTGCCTATAGTGTACAAAGGATCGAATCACGCTCATTTGCACGCATCAGCAAGATCAGCGCAGTAAGGCTCATAGGGTCTATGTCCCCCAGGGTACTGCCGGAACGTACCCTGGGTACGGTCCGGTATACCGGAACATACCCTGGTAACTATCTAGCTGATATGGTTAGGCTTATAGAGTTAGGGTTAGGGTTAGGGTTAGGCGTAGGCGACTCCCTATAGACTCGTTAGTGGAGTAGGCGAGGTACGGTCCGGCCTATTAGATAGTAGTATTTAGTACCAGGGTACGTTCCGGTACACCGGACCGTAACCAGGGTACGTTCCGGCAGTACCCTGGGTTGTCCGCAAATACAGACATTATAATATAACTCCGCTTTGCTAATCTGAGAGTGCGGGTTTATCATTACTGGGAGGGAGAGTTACCATTACTGGGGTCTGCGTCGGCTCGGACTATACCCTGGGGGACATAGACCCTAGCAGCCGCATGCAGTAGGGTAAATAGAAATTAACCCAACCATGCAGGCTGTGTTATAATAACATCAATATACACATTGCCGTGTATACAACAGTCGTGTCGACACAGACTCACACAAGGTCTCCTAACCCTAGCAAAGACCGTTTCTTGGAGCTACTATAGTAGTAATACTAGTATAGTATTACTATAGTAATATAAATACAGACAATGATGGGCAACATTATAATTTTTCTGATGCATTTGCATCATTACTGATTACATTGCCGTTGGCGTTGCATTGGTAACAATCAGACCAGATCAAGAGCTAATAATACATTGTACTACATTATGATACATCACATGGATTGTGTACAGTGTAATAATGGCTCTCGATCAGATTATCACAGAGTTGACTAAATCCTAGCTCTAATACTAATACTAATAATACTTAGATCATAGCATGAGCATGTTTACACCATAAATATATACAAACACATGAATTGCTTAC